GGATCGTTCAACCTTTTGTCTCTTCGGTAAATCGAATGATTTCTTATGTCTTTGTTCTTCTTCGTTTAACCAGATTTGATGAAGAAGAGAAACGAGAATGGATGGAGTCATTCGTAATGCTAAACCAGTGTCAAACAGTAGTTCGTCATCTGTTCTAATCAATCGAATCAATTCTTTCCACAATTGAGCAGATTCTTGACGAGTTAAATGCAGACGTTGTTTGATTTGTTCCACGGATAGATAGTCTTGTCGAAATTCGTCCTCGGACTGAAACTTTTTCCAACTATTTGTCAACTGTTGCTTGAAGAACTTGGCGATATCACTGAGAGGATTTTCGTCATAGTTGGTTGATGGAAAAATCTCCTCGGGAAACGGTTGTTTTCCTTCAGGAATTTTAGTCGATCTTCTCGAATGGATTAGATCAACGGAATAACGACAACAATATTTTCTTTGAGCATTCAACAGTAGTATTGGATCGATGGGTATGTGTCTTGATTTGAGTTGAACTTGATGATGGCGATCATTGGATTCACAGGTAAATTGTTGTCGATCAATTTTGATTCTATTGATCAACACATGGGATTTGATCGAATCCATTACTTGTTCAATGCATTGCACAAAATCTCGAAGCTTTTTGTTCAATCGCCACGATTTGAATAAATCATTGATTTGATTGCTAATCTGATTTCCAAAATACACAGCATCCAGCAATTTCAACTGATCGGTATAAGGAAGATTCTGTCGAAAAGACTCTTCCACTTCGTCCAAAATTTTTGTGCATTTATCTTGATCAGTGATCGAATAGAGTGTAATCGATTCTCGATGAACTTGAATTTGCCCGATATTTCTGTAGGAACCAAATGGAGGAAAGACCATTGAATTCAATGAGATCGAACTACCTCTTAAGATTGCTTTCAACATGTTCAAATAGAATGGTTTGATCGAACATTTCTTCGATATGTAATGAAGAAAATCGAAGAGAATGTCTAATCGATCCATCTCGTCAGGCTGATTGTTGGTTGCCGATGTCTTGGCGCAATCGATCAGTTTCAAAAGACCGATGAAGATGCTCTTGAAAGGATCATTTCCATTGGTCCATCGATTCAAAGGGAAGCAATGGAGCACTGAAGGATCTTGCAGATTTAAATCTCCAGATTTGTAGAGATCTTCCAGTGGACGATAAACGCAGTTGTCTGCCATAGCTAAATCGTAGACAGGAGCCAGTTCATAAGAATACGAGGAATATTTATTGAAAATCTCAGCTTCCATTTCATCGGACAATCGAGCAGTCGGATTGTACGAATCTCGATAATCCCAATAAAGTTTCGCTAATAGTTTGTCATTGTTGTATGGGAAAGCGTTCGTCGTCGATTCCGACGATGGGTACATAAAATTCAGTTGTTTACTGGCCTCGATCAGTTTCTTAATTATCAAATAATAACCAAAATGTTGAAGAGAATAAGGTAAACTTTGCTCATTCCATCGAATCGTTGTCATACAAGTGAGATGAGTGGGATAATATGTGGCTTTTGGAGAAATGTTCGCTATTTGATGTGCTATGTCGAGAGAAAGTGAATCGAAAGGTTGATAAGTCCAACACCCAGCAGAATAGAGTAGTTGAAAAGCACGTTCCATTCCTGTCATTCCGGTATAGAAGTCAGGTAAAAGATGTGATGTCATCGCATGTAACAACGCTAGATAAAGCCAACCTGTTGGACTATCCGATGATTGAAGAAGACATAAACGATCATTTAGAGTAAAAACAAAATATTGATGGGCGAATGGCATCGTTGCAGCTCGTTCGATGGAGACGATTTGATGACTATTAGCGGATGTTTTCTTCGCTTGAACTTGTCCAAAAGGAACGAGGAATTTCCGACTGCTCGCGACGATCGGTGAAAGAAGAAGTCCGACGGTTAGTCCTCTCAATGTTCCAAAGCATTGATTTTCATCGATGTACATGTCCGAATATTCCCGAGAGAAAATCTTCTTGTTCACAGCATCGTATTTGAAGGCAAGACCTAATCGAGACAGATGAATGTGAATGAGACAATCAAGTGGCATTCCTTTGGCTCTGATGATTGAATAAGCATTGCCTCTGAACATGTAAACATAGGGTTCAGTATCGAGACGGCGAAAGTATCGTTTGTATAAATTTTGAAAGAATGGAGATGATCTATTGACGAGAACTTGTGGTTTTTCCATGTTCTTGGTGATAAGAAATCCGTCATTCAGGTTTAATTCGTAGGGTATATTGGTTAAAAACTGATAGTGTTGAAAATGAATTGGACGAAATTGGATAAGCTTAGTCTTTTGGTTGATCCAATGACTATAATTGTCGACAAATTCCACAGCAAATTCTGTTTCGAAACACTTAGGAGGTATTAATTGAAATATCTCGCCTGCTTGATGTGCTGCTCGAATGATCACTCGCTGATTTTGACTATTGAAATGGAATTCATAATAGATTTGATTGTCATGATAGGCATGTTTTGTGACATAGGTATTGGGTGATCCAGCTGCTTGTACTTCAAAAATATGACGATCGAATGTCCGACGAAATAATTCATTTGACGTGATTTTATCGGGTAGAAAACCAATACTCATTCCATTGACTAAAAATCTTCCTCGCAAACAATCAATGGATATTTGAATCGATTCATATTTACCATCGTACCAGCCATCGAAGTCACTCGTAGTACGTTTCTTCTATTATTCATAAATAAATAAGAAACTTATAGTGTTTTTCTTTTTAAAAGAGTCAAGGAAGGAGTGTGCAAATGTTTATCTATCTCAATTCTGAACTTTGAATGAAATGAAAAATTCAAAATAAGTTTTATTTATTTATTTTTATGTCATTCAGCAAATTACAACGAATACTAAAAGCAAAGATTGAGAATAAAATGTGAAAAATTTTAGTTATTGAACACATTTACGATATTGGAGAAGTATAGTTTTATTCGCGTTTTATAACATCAGTCGATACTCTATTCAATGTTCCAAGTGGAAAAACATCGGATTTTAGGATTCTGTCATCTACGGTTCTGATTAATATGTAATACAACTAAAGTCACATTCAATAAGAAATTAAAGAGACAAATATCCTTTAACGAATTACAATATTATATGAATACGAGCATTGTCAGACAGATGCCGACAAAGTAGAGTATCCAGCCAGATCCATATCTTGAAATAGAACATGCTGCCAACGGATTTATTTTCTGCAACGATGGATTTTCATACGCACTTGGAAACCATGTGTGAACGACGCCATCAAGAATAATTGCAATACCGTTAGCCAGTGTCAGTGCGGCTAGTGTCTCTTGTGAATTAAGAGAAAACACTGCTTCAGTAATGCGTATTAGAGCGTAAACGGCGGCACTGTAGCAACCATCGTAAGACTTCGACTTGGATTGGTACGAAACATAAATGGTCCTCCATAGCGAATTGCCATTACACCCACACCCCAACAAAAAGTACCATAGCCCACTAGTCCGCATGTTTTTGCTAAGCTTAAGCTGTGTAAAGCCATCTGTTCAAATAACCAAAATCGAAGTTTCGAAGTGAATGCTGTTGTATTTTTGGTGACTATCTACAAGCNCGATTCTCATTGAAATCGAGAGTTTTTATGGTGCTAAGCGAACTGTCATCTCGGCATGGCAAGTTTTATTATCGACAAAAAACATCACCTCTTCATTATTGCCGCATTTCTCTTGCTTTTCTGTGCCAGTCTTTCAGTTACAAGATCGATTTCAGCTGCGGTCAATGGCTCATTGTGAATTATTGGAGAAGGTAATTCATTCTCAAACTGAGCACCTGTTGATATTGAATCACTCTGCCCATAATTGATTGAGAACTGTTGCTGTGATGTATAGGAGTTCTGTGTGTTTAGATAAGTCTTCAGCTTCCCACAAGAATGTCGATGGATTTCTAATCGATCTAAGTCCGACGGAATCGTCGATAAACTTTGTGTTGATTGTTCTTTTCTCTGAATGGGAATCTCCCAAGCAGAATTCGAAATAATTTCCCCCAGTCTCACATTAATTTCTTCGATGACATTTTGAACCCATACGTGAAGATCTTTGTCTTCGATAGTGAACCTTAAATGATCAAGTTTGTTCAATCGTAGAACAATTTTTCTTCAACAATGCATCAGAAGATCGACATTCGATATTGGAGAATTCATCGACTTTTGTCGTGCGTAAACGATGTGAGTGAGAAAGAAAGTGATCAGTAGTTTATAAACGATCGTTCCCGATCTTCCTAACCGTTTGGTGAGCATTGTTTGAAGAACTGTTTTCATTGTCATTTACAGGCCAGAACGTCGAAAAGGTAGCAGGGCACCGTTCCATTGGATTTGATCGCGATGTTTTTTCTTGAATGAAATCGATGAAGCACGTCGATTTTCACTTCTGATACCTGAAAAGTGGTTGATCCACCAATCAGTAGCGTAATGGGATCCTGGAACATCACGAGTTTCATCAAATGTACCAGAACCTCGATGTGCCTGGCTGTGCTCAAGCGGATGCTTCATGAAATCGATCAATAATTCACAATGAGCCATTGACCGCAGCTGAAATCGATCTTGTAACTGAAAGACTGGCACAGAAAAGCAAGAGAAATGCGGCAATAATGAAGAGGTGATGTTTTTTGTCGATAATAAAACTTGCCATGCCGAGATGACAGTTCGCTTAGCACCATAAAAACTCTCGATTTCAATGAGAATCGCTGCATTTTGATGATGAAAATAGAGAGGTAAAAACTCTTCCGGTACTAATTGATCGATCGTTTTTTGTAAATCAACAGCAGAGAGTTTGTTCGGATCTTGTAAATTTGCCCAACGTTTAATAGAACTCATTAGAATTGGAAACATTGGCCGACAAAATTTCCCATTCAGCGACTTGAAGAATTTTTTCCTAGATTCCAATAATTTGCATTCGTTTTGATGATTGTTGCGAATTAAAAAATCAGCATCAGCCGAATTCGGCAGATGACACGGAAGAAATAAATGGTTCAAAATTGATTCACTCATCGTTGCCATTGGCGACATGTCTCGTACTTGATTCGAAGAAATGGTAGCTCTAGAAGTGACCGAAACATCATCAGCACAAGGGTATTGAACAAACGATGTCACTCATCTTGGTGTAAGAGGAAAAAGTTGGGTGATTTGTGCGTTCAATGCAATAGCCGATAAAATCTAAGGAAATAGAAAATGATTAATGATGCGGAGAGAGAGGCATGTTTCGTTCGTTGAATGAAAAACAGAATTCAGTTGATTTTAATCAACATACCATCGCTGTCCGATTACGTCTTCTGTGTGACCTTCCCATGCAGTTGCGAAAACCAAAATTTCTCATTCTTTGTTAATATAGATAATTCTTCAAAGAATCAGCGCCTTTAAATATGAAAAGCATTCTTATCACATGAGGGTGTGGGTGTGGGCGTGGGTGTGGGTGTGGGTGTTTGGGTGTGGGGGTGGGTGGGNTAATTCGTAGGGTATATTGGTTAAAAACTGATAGTGTTGAAAATGAATTGGACGAAATTGGATAAGATTAGTCCTTTGGTTGATCCAATGACTATAATTGTCGACAAATTCCACAGCAAATTCTGTTTCAAAACACTTGGGAGGTATTAATTGAAATATCTCGCCTGTTCTATGTGCTGCTCGAATGATCACTCGCTGATTTTGACTATTGAGATGGAATTCGTAATAGATTTGATTGCCATGATAGGCATGTTTTGTGACATAGGTATTGGGTGATCCAGCTGCTTGTACTTCAAAAATATGACGATCGAATGTCCGACGAAATAATTCATTTGACGTGATTTTCTCCGGTAGAAAGCCAATACTCATTCCATTGACTAAAAATCTTCCTCGCAAACAATCAATGGATATTTGAATCGATTCATATTTACCATCGTACCACCCATCGAAGTCACTCGTAGTACGTTTCTTCCATTGTCCATTGGTGATTTGTTTGGTTTTGATCAATCCCCAATGCATCTCAGCGAACTGATGCAAACTTTGATAGGAAGTTTCCTTTAGATATCGAGCAATTGTCGGTTGAATTTCTACTATGACACAGTCTCTCCATCGCATGAGATTTATCATGAAGACGCTCATACCGACTGGTTTCTTGTTTAGAACGCTATTATCATGAATCGAAGTCGCTGCTTTGAGTAAAGAAACGATCGATGAATTTGACAATGGTCGTCGATCGGGATAAATCGAGAATGTGAATAAACACGCGGAAGCGGTGATAACGATTTTATCGCGTAACTTTTGCATTTCATGCACATTCATTGAGGTGGTGGCTCGAAAGATTTGGGAAATTTTTTCAATCGATGATTCACCGATTTGACGACATTTCAACGCTAATTCAATCATTCGCTCCGTTCTTGTTGAATTACAAATCGTCAAAATTCTCATCGTTACTACTGTAATTAAGACAAGCGCCAATTCATTTTGCCAATTCGATCGACAATCATCCAAACGACGATCGAGTCTAGAGATCAATTCATCTACGAAATGATCATCGAATAGCTGTTGATGGGATTCGGAACACCATGGATGAATCAGTTGATTTATCTCATCCGTCACTGGACCGTATTGTGTTAATGAATGAGTGACAAGGAGAAGAACACTCTCTTCATCGAAGGATAGCGAATCTAATTCGAAAGTACTTAACAAATTCCACCATTGTAAATGATGACCCGAACGTAAGGAACCGAACTCGACGAATTCGGCTGGTTTCAGTCCCAATGGGCATCGAACTGATTGAGCGATCACTCGGTTCTGCTCGAACTTTGTACTGTCGACTGAAAATTGCAAAAGTTTGTAGTTTGGATGTTCTAACTGAGGTGTTAAGATTCGACATTCGTTCTCCAGTGTTGTTGGTCTTGTCGGACTGATTTGCACTTGTAAATTATTCGGGTGTAAAAATCCTTGCAGAGGTGTCGATCCAACGGATCGTCCTTGTGAATAATGACTTTCAGTGAGTGATTTGATCGAAGAGACTAAATTCACCTTGCAATTAGAAGGACCTCTGTAGAATTTAGCAAGTTTCGAAGCATGAGGTCGAGTCTTTAGCCATTCATACATCCTAGCATGCGATGGTTTTTGACAAGGACGATTGATGAATTGCCAAAGAATCTCTCGATAACATCGAATCTCCTTCGGCATTTGTAATTCAAAAACGACCGCTAATGCACTTTGTTCGTTTTCTGGTATTGGGCATTCGTAAATGTCCACTCGAATGCTGTTAGCCTCTTCAGTAAGTTTACATCGTTTACACTTTCGCCTGTATAGCAAACGATGAGTCCACTCATCGTAGACGTTTTCGCAAGTGCACTGAAGCTTTGCCGCTTCTGCCTTCAATTGATCGTATCTTTGTTTAGCCGTATTGAATTCTTCACATTTTGCTTGTCTGTCTCGTTCAGCTTCAGCTCGAATTTCTCGAAGAGTTTCTTTCATCGCCACTGATTGACTGGCAAAATAAATACCAAATGCATCTTTGCACTCAATACTGCGTAATAGGTCGGGATCTCTGTTTTGGCTGAATTCTCGGAAATAATCGTAAAGCTGGCGAGCACGAATCATCTCTTCTCGATTGGGTAGAATCAAGTATTCGAATAATAGCAAGAGGTGAGGAATATTTATGGAATAAGATGACAATCGTTCAAATCTTGGATCGGCACATAATTTTCGATGCATCCAACGTAGGATAGTCAATGAACTGAGAATATATCGAGTGTAACCGAGACAGTCTGAAGGTTGATCTGCTGAATTATAATGTACAAGTGCCTTGTTTTGATACGTTTCGAAGAGATCTAATAGTTTCTGAAAATGTGTTCCTCCATTTTCAGATAATGACAGACGATTCATCCATTGATGCAAATAAGTTTCAATCCAAATCTCTACCACTCTCAATGCGATTCCAACGGTATCCGTGGATGCATTTGTGAGAATTATTGGAGAAGGTAATTCATCCTTAAACTGAGCACCTGTTGATATTGAATCACTCTGTTCATAATTGATTGAGAACTGTTGCTGTGATAGATAGGAGTTCTGTGTGTTTAAATAAGTCTTCAGCTGCCCACAAGAATGTCGATAGATTTCTAATCGATCTAAGTCCGACAAAATCGTCGATAAACTTTGTGTTGATTGTTCATTGCTCTGAATGGGAATCTCCCAAGCAGAATTCGAAATAATTTCCCCCAGTCTCACATTGATTTCTTGGATGACATTTTGAACCCATACGTGAAGATCTTTGTCTTCGATAGTGAACCTTAAATGATCAAGTTTGTTCAATCGTTGAACAATTTTTCTTGAACAATGCATCAGAAGATCGACATTCGATATTGGAGAATTCATCGACTTTTGTCGTGTGTAAACGATGTGAGTGAGAAAGAAAGTGATCAGTAGTTTATAAACGATCGTTCCCGATCTTCCTAACCGTTTTGTGAGCATTGTTTGAAGAACTGTTTTCATCGTCATCCACAGGCCGGAACGTCGAAAAGGTAGCAGGGCATCTTTCCATCGGATCTGATCGCGATGTTTTTTCTTGAATGAAATCGATGAAGCACCTCGATTTTCACTTCTGATGCCTGGAAAGTGGTTGATCCACCAGTCAGTAACGTAATGGGATCCTGGAACATCACGAGTTTCATCAAACGAACCAGAACCTCGATATGCCTGGCTGTGCTCAAGCGGATGCTTCATGAAATCGATCAATAATTCACAATGAGCCATTGACCGTAGCTGAGATCGATCTTGTAACTGAAAGACTGGCACAGGAAAGCAAGAAAGATGCGGCAATAATGAAGAGGTGATATTTTTTGTCGATAATAGAACTTGCCATGCCGAGATGACAGTTCGCTCAGCACCATAAAAACTCTCGATTTCAATGAGAATCGCTGCATTTTGATGATGAAAATAGAGAGGTAGAAACTCTCCCGGTACTAATTGATCGATCGCTTTTTGTAAATCAACAGCAGAGAGTTTGTTCGGATCTTGTAAATTTGCCCAACGTTCAATAGAACTCATTAGAATTGGAAACATTGGTCGACAAAATTTCCCATTCAGCGACTTGAAGAATTCTTTCATAGATTCCAATAATTTGCATTCGTTTTGATGATTGTCGCGAATTAAAAAATCAGCATCAGCCGAATTCGGCAGATGACACGGAAGAAATAAATGGTTCAAAATTGATTCATTCATCGTTGCCATTGGCGACATGTCCCGTACTTGATTCGAAGAAATGGTAGCTCTAGAAGTGACCGAAACATCATCAGCACAAGGGCATTGAACAAACGATGTCACTCACCTTGGTGTAAGAGGAAAAAGTTGGGTTATTTGTGCGTTCAATGCAATAGCCGATAAAATCTAAGGAAATATAAAATGATTAATGATGCGGAGAGAGAGACATGTTTCGTTCGCTGAATGAAAAACAAAATTCAGTTGATTTTAATCAACATACCGTCGCTGTCCGATTGCGTTTTCTGTATGACCTACTCACGCGGTTGCGAAAACCAAAATTTCTCATTCTTTGTTAATATAGATAATTCTTCAAAGAATCAGTGCCTTTAAATATGAAAAGAATTCTTATCACATGACGCACATTTATCAACAGACAGATGATAAAATGGTCGCTCTTCATAGATCTACAACAGTGACAGCATGTGAAAATATTTACATTCTTTCACATAAGACAAACACAAAAAAAGAAGGGCGCATATGGGTGTAGGTGAGGGTGTGGGGTGTGGATGTGTGGGTATGTGGGTGTCTGGGTGTGAGGGTGTGGGTGAGTGTGGGTGTGAGTGCGGTTGAAGAGAAGATTGATACCCACACCCACACCCCACACCCGCACCCCA